AGTTTTGTTCTGGTTGGTGTATGCATTGTTACGTGTCAGAGCTATTGTGTCTTTTGGGATGTAGTGTGTTTTATATGTGGCCATACATGTTGCTGCCAAAGTGGTGTAATTAAATGGATCAAGGCCTGTACACAAAATGAATTCGTCGCGGTACTTCATGCATGCCTCCCTCAGCAAAACGACATCGTTTTTACCATAAAGCGCGAGTTCTTTTTTAAAATCGAACACTTTGTCAGATGTGGTATTGTACCAATCATCAAACGCAGCCCTGTCTTGGTTCGACATTGTTGCATACCCGTAAAATTTCTTGTCAGGGTACGGGCCTATGTAGTTGTCATTTTCAACGCGGTTAAAGTGGTGCGGAAAATACCCCTTCTCTGCATTAGTCAGATTAAATGCAACGGGTGTCTTCGCCAGACGCATGGGTATGAATGAATATGTATCAATAAAACGTTGCTTGAAAGCTGTGTCATACATTAAGATTAGCCTGCAACCTTGCATTGTGATTTTAGGAGCAATCCCCATCTTAGTAAAGAATTCCAAAATTATGTAATTGTCAAACCCTGCTGCATTGTGGGCTAGCCATGTGTAATTAAGGTAACGTGGTTGTCTGAATTTTTTAACGAGACGATCCACACAATCGGGCCCTTCAGCCACGAATTCCTCGCCATTAAACGTGATAGCACATACAAAATTGGCAACGTGTTTACCATTTTCATAACGGGTCTCAAAATCGTAGAAAATGTAACGATCGTTCGGCATCTCCGGCTTAACTGGTTGGATAAAACACTGATGCATACCATCGGTGACCAAACTCTCACCACAGTGCACACAACGATCTGCAGGGCATTTATGGGGTTTGGGTTTAGTACCGCTGACATGGTAACGTCTATTACATTTACCGCAATATTTAGTCACGTCGCACTGCGCGTATTGCATACCCCGAGGTGGTTTTTTATGCATCTCGAAACAATAGTTAGACTTACAGTAGCGCAGGCAGTCGCCGCAATGTTTTGGCTTTTTGGGGTGTTTATGACATTCCGGGTCATTACAGACATCGCAGATGTACCGACATCTGTGATCTCTCCTACAGGTGAATCCTCGGTGGCAGAACTCACACACGTATGGGGTGCCAATAAATGCACGTAGATTTTTAATCATAAAATAATGATTGTCATGCAGGTACAAAAATACTGTTTTAGGATGCGGATCGTCTGTGTTTGTATACTTCTCCAAAACACCCGTATCAGACCGATAGAAGACAACTATTTTAACGCTCAGCATCTGTTCAAACCGTCTGATGTCATTAAACGCTATCTTGTATTGATCACCATAGCCAGCTGACTTCTGTATTGAAGATGCTACAGACTCAAGCTCTACGTGTGGTTTCTGTGGATTTAGGAAATGTGCCAGACAGATTGCAAAACAAAGATTGTTTGAAATGTTTGTGGGACAGAACAGATTAAGTCTGTTTTTGGTAATCACTTCATTGTGGGCAAGATCACGGATCTTTCGATAAACACCGCCGTGTTTACTTCTCGCTATCGACAGTCTTAAATTCAATCTCTCATCAAACTGTACGTCAGAGTTGCTCTGCATTATTTTTTCAAGGTCGTTTATAAATAGATCTACACTATAACCATTGCTACCCGTCAAAAGTGTACTAACATCTGATGTCAAACTCGATCCCCTCAACGTGATGCTGATTAAACATCCGTCTCCGCCTAACAGTTTGGAAAACTCCACAATTTCAGAAAGTGTGTCATGTAAAAACACTGTGTAGGCTGCTAAATCTGTCGAAGATATCTCTCGCAAATTTATAAGCCTGTGGACTTCCAGACCATTGAACCGTGCTCGTGGCAGTACCGTGTACCCACTAACATCACCACCTACTGTTACAAGTGATTCTATATCTCTATCTGTGAGACCCATATTGGGCGCTTCAGGGTTGAGTGTGCGATGTGTCTGTGTACCTGGGCCCTCGCCTGACTGGTGAAAAGACACAAGATGATCAAATGCAGAATTTGGTTCTGGACGAGGTTCTAACACCTCTCCTGCTTGTTGGGTATTTACAACATGTTCAAAATCATTATTTGGGTCAGGATCCTCATCGGCACGATGTTTAATAATTCTACCAACGTATCAGTTGAAGACTCAGACCTATTCATATCCTCCACAGTCTGTATTAAATAGAGCAATGTTTCTGTGTTACTGCACTGTTCGAGGGGCACCACGCTACCATCGTTTCGTCTAAACCTAGCTACCGGACCCTGATCAAAACCATCTGGCTCCCGACAACGTTTAGGCATTTTTAAACCAGATCTTTTTTTATTTTATTTATTTAAATCACATGTAGCAACACTTTAAAAACTATGGATAATAAACCCTGTGTCCATACAGTAAAAAAAAAGATAGAATGAAAAAACTGACAAATGTTGAAGAAAAAAAAACAAAACAAAACAAAAAACGTAGTATGCAAAATATATATATAAAATGTTGTCAAGTTACCCAAGTTTCTTTTTAAGCATGAGCACCAGTTGCTTTAACAATTCTGTAGTCAGGCCTTGTTCTCTGGCTACTTTTTGAACAGTACCACTATGCAACCGTTGCGCTGCTATGCATTGTTTAAGCCAAATTCCCTGTTGTTGTTGTGTTGACTCATAAGCATCTAAACGTCTCTCAATGGCATTAAGGCGTTTGTCAAAACGTACCTCGAAGGCATTCAATGCGGTCTTGACAGAGTCCTGTATCAGTCTGGCTATGTGCTGATTGTCTATAAAGGGTTGTGATTCCAGTTTGTAAGCCTCCTGATTTGAAGGCAGCTGTTCAGGGTCGGATTCCTCCACGACCACGACCCGTTCGCTGGTTGGAACAGACTGCGGTGTTTCTTTAGGGTCGTTTGTAAATACACAGCCGTCCCACGCTTGTATCAGACCCTCACTCCAGCTCTGAACATCATTTATATCGGGAACTACGACCACCTCTGTTAAGAAGTAGAAAAGGGTGCAAACAAAAAAAAAAGTTAGTACAAATGTGTTAATATTATAATGATAACAGTAATATTAATATTAACTATATTTTCTAAGACTAAAAATAAAATAAAAATCAGTCTGGTACTAATGTAACATTAAAAAACAATACGTATTGTCAAATTCTCTCTCTCTCTCTCTCTCTCTCTCTCTCTCTCTTTATATATATATATGTATATATATATATATATATAAACAATCAAACAAGACCATGCTAATATGGAATGGCACAGCAGCCTAAAATCATCATGTCTACACTTTTTTTTTTTACACACAGTTCTCCAATGGTGTAATGTATGATAACAACTGTTCTAAACTAGCGTATTGGCACATTATACATCCACAAACACATTCGACCTCTCACTATCACATTCAAATAAACAATATTTATCTTTCTGATTTAGTGTGAACAGAAAACAATCCATCAGCTTTTGTTCATTACTTACTTTTAACAGCTGATCGTCTTGGCTTTTTTGGGACAGATGTCTGTGGTACGTCTCTCGATCCCCCATCAGCAGAAGCTTTTGCGTCCGCATGGGAAACCACAGCAGCTTTACGTTTCAACTTATTTTTCGCTTTCTTATCCGGTTTATTCACACATTCAGACACACCGACATTGCTCACAACGTTTGATAAACCATCTGTAAATACATGTGTCAAAGTTTTAAAACAAAATCAACAAACCATAGCAGCATAATATTGTCTGATAAAGCCAAATTACAATGCGCTTACCCAAGGGGATGACTCCAACGTTAGCAGACTCGCTGTCTCGCGGTGGTCCATGTACTATGGCCTTGATAGTCACGCGTTTCGGCCCTGGTAAAAACAAAAAACCCTGAGAAGATGAGATATGTTCACACAGCCACAACACTGTTTAAACACGGGTGTAACAAGATTTAACAATACCTGGCACAAGTGCTTCCGTGATCGCTCGTGAAGAGGCAACAGCATTGTGCGTAGCAACAGCTGTGCTAGGTCTAGCCACGCCTCCTGGCGAAAACAAAACAAAACATCATCCGTCACACACACGCACACAAACACACACACACACACACAACGCATGCAACATTTAAACATAATTATACGTACCACTCGCTTGATTCAGGAAGTTAAGCTCATCTACTAGATCGAAGAGACTCAAGCTCTCACCATCTGAAGCGGGCAGATAAAACCTTAAGTAAGCAACAGAACAGCGACGCTCGTAAACAAAAATAATCATCCTTAACAATGTTACTAAATAATAAAAAATACTTACTGTTAAGACCGGATTCCATCTTCTTGCACTCACGATTCCAACAACACAATATGGCTTGGAAAATAGTTTGAGAACGAGAATAAACAGCGGCGATGCTTGACACGAGACACACACACTAGTACGCTTCAGTGACTGTGCTCGCGTTCAACACACATTTATACACACAGGTTTTGGCGAAGTGTGAAAAGCGGCCTCCCCAGCAGACAGAATACACAACGACATAACATCTCGCGCAGGTAGACGGCCAATAAACCCGGAAGGCCAAGGGCCAGACACCTTTCTTTTACACCTACGGCCAGGATGTCACCGCAGGATGATGTCACATGGCGTCGCACATCCTAGACATACCGGAGCCTGTCAGCGACCCATTATAAATCAGAGACAGGGGAACCGCAGAACCATAAATCAAAGTCATAAAACACCTTTTTTGACACATGGTTTATGTTAACACTACTTATGATAAAACACACATGAAAAACACAATGTTAAGCATTAAGATTTTCAACAATACGTTGAAGCATTAAAATGAATAATAAAAATTATTGTTGACTTGATATCTCGTTGAGATTGACATTATAGGATTTCTCAGCAGGAATAAACTTCTGTTTGAGAATTTCATATTATCCACGTTTCTATGATACTTACAGTCTGAACATGATGTGTTTGTTTGCTCATCTGTTTTTAATTGTTATAAAGGAGTAAATCTGAAAACTCACCAGCTCTTTTTCTGCAGATCAGCCAGAGAAGAGCAAGAAGGAGAACAGCGACTGCAGCGACAGAAATCCCTATGACTGAAGAAGAGATCGAGCACAGAGTCAGAGACGGACAGGGCAGATTGAGGACAATTATAGATAAAGACTAAAGACTGTGATTATGTACCTTGTGGGTTTGTGCCTGGTGTTGTTGTATCAGCTTGAGCTGTAAAGGATGAATGTTAGTTGAGATGCATCATAATATTTTTCCAGGATGAGGAGGAAACGAGGTGAGGCGTAGCAAACTTTTACCAAACTAAAGAGAGTAATCCAACATGAGAACACACACAGCAAAATCCCAAATTTCATTTAACTCCGCTCAGAGTCCCACTCTAAGGAGTGATAAAGTAACTCTGAATCAGAGTTAAAGTTAATGAGATAATTAAGAGATTAATAAAGTGATGATTGAGCATTATAAGTGCATGAATTGAAGAGTTTATAAGTGTATGAGTTTAGAGTTTATGAGTTTAAATGAGTCTCAATGGGTTAGAAAGAGTACATAGAATGGCAGTTTAATGGAGTCTAATGGGCTTCAGGGTGTTTAGATTAGAATTTTTGACAGTTGGAGAATGAACAGTCTTGGCTCATTTGAACATTCTGCAATGAAAGTCAATGGGATTTTTCCGAGCTTTAGGCGTAATTTTTAGGGAAAAAAGTCAGATAGTCCGTAAGTCCGATCAGTTAGAAAAGATATTGCAACTAACTTCAGAACAGTCTGATCAGATCAGAGATCACGCGTAAGTGAGACCGGAGTTCGAGCGTGAGACTAATTGTTATAAAAAATGATAGCCCGCTAAAAGATTGCGATCCAAATTGTCTGTGCGTTGATGTGCAGCGAAAAGGAGAAAATGTGCTGCTGTTGCAAATGTTTGAGCTTTGTTTCCGGTTACTGATGCACCGCCTCTCGCAGTCGAGCGGGAATGCTGTATTGATCTGCAAACAAATCCTCTCCCATGTCTCACGCTTAGTTTAGCTTGATATCCCAGTGCTGAATTTCCCTTTTATTATGTTTTTTTTTTTTTTTTTTAAGAACCAACTGGGCCAGCAGCAGTAACTGATCCTGCGTCCAGTTGGGCTTTCTTTTCCGTTTTGGCGAGTTCATAATCCACCGTCATTCAACTATTACATTACTTCAATAGGAGCAACATTTCCTTGCTTTAAGTAGTCTATTTAGGCTAATAGGATGTCAGTTAACCAAGCAAGTGTTGATGCAAGTGTCGTTTTCCATTATTAGGCAAGTGGCGGTTTTCATTAGGGTTTTAGGCTACCTTGATTTAATTTAATTTAATTCACGACTTTTCTCTCTCTCTCTGCCTTTTTAGAATCACACTTCACTGGGGCCTGCACAAACATGTCATTATATATGCATTTCGATGACATTACTATTATTATTTAGTGTAGGACACAGACATATTTAGATGTCGTAATTCCATGATTTGTTCCGCATGATGGCCATGTCATCTAACAACCAATCACCGTGATCATTGCGAGACTCACTCTTAGTTTAGGAGTTGTCATTTTTCCTTACTAAGAGTAGGTCTGAAAGGCGTTGTGAATAACTTTTAAGAGAAAACTCCTACCTAAAATATTTTAGTGCGATTTAGGAGTACTCCTAGTGGTAAGATAAAATTCTTTGTGAATACGGCCCCTGACTCACTTTATTTCTGTCAGACGTCTACTGAAGCTCTTATTGAGAATAAACAGAGCTTTAGATGTGGATGTTATATTGAAAACGTTTGGCTACCATTATGGAGACGGTAAAAGTGGTTGTTTGTTATTAATAATTGGTGGTGGTTGAGGAGATTCCCCCTTCTATGTGTGATATAAAACAGTTTATATCGTTGTTATAGGTAATGTGTCTTTAGTCCATTAGGTGGCGACCGAGTGTTTGCTAAGAGTCAATATGCAGACAACCAAAGTAGAACGCTAGTCGACAGTTATCTAGAGTAGTCACATTGTGTGTTGCATGTAAGTTACGGTCAAAAGCTTGATGTTAATAAAGCTCAGACTTTGAGAAACTCAGTTGCTTTATTGGAACATTACACTATGTGTGGCATGATTTCCCGAGTTAAATGGTTGGCGTTTTAATGTCATCACCTGTGCGTACTATAAAAGCCATTGTCGAATGCACCTGTGCAGATCGTCATCTCCCGGATGTGGTGTGGTTTCCGCTGTCGCGATTGAACGCGACTGTGGGTCGGTAAAGGAGAGCGGCTGTTTATGGTCTTTCGTGTTCGGCCTTTAGTCACAGCTGCTCTAATCGGCTGATGGATATGAGTGTGCATCTGTCCTCCTCCAGGTATGCGTTTCATTTATTATATCCGTTTATCAGCCGTGGAAGTGGTGCGAGTCGCAATTTGTGTGTTATTTCAGTTGCTTTGTGTACGGGTGACGGCTGTTGCAAATAGGCTGAGTAGTTAAACTTTGGCTAGATCCCGGTTCCCGGAGCTGTCGTGTGGTAAGTGGTAGTTTGTTTTCTTTTCCCCCGTCGATTATTGAATGTTAATTGTATTTTTCTTGCGCGGATTGCAGGGTGGATAACATCCTTGCAGTGGCAGCGCCGCTGTCTCGTCCTGTAGACCTGTGTTGTCCGTGTGTGTTTTGGGTCACGGTTGTGTTGGACCCGTGTCAACGAACTTTGTCTTTTGTGTGTACATGTTTTGTCTCTAAAACAGCGTTGAGTGTCCTTATTTTGTGTTGTATTTAGTCTTGTTAAATTTGCTTGAGACTTCCAATTCATTTCTCCCCATTCATTTAATTCAAATCAGTATATTAATTTGTGTATCAGTTATTTTGAATTATTTTTGGTTGATCGTGGTTTTGTAAATCTTTTGTATTGATTATGTTTCTTGTGTATTGTAATTGAGTTATCCTATTAATGTGAAATTGGTTTATCATTTGAATTTTGTTTATTTGATTTAGTTTTTCTTTCTTTGTCTCAATTTGAGTCTTGAGTTTATTGTTTTTGTTTGAATTGAAATGAAATTTTATATGTTAAACTTGTTGCTGAGCACATTACGAGTGTATGGCTTATTTTGTGCTTCTCTCTCTTTTTTGTATATTTGTTTTGTTTACTTTTACATGTCTGTTTTTTTAATAATTTTGGGACTGGACTAGCAGTATTTTATGTATGTTTGGTGTTTGTATCTACAGTGAATGCACTGCATGGATGAGCTCAACATATCGTCTTCATCTGATGCTTTCTGGGAGAATCGAGTGAAAGAACCGGAGAGTTTCATGAACACACGACTCTCAGTGTTTATATTAAACATGACATATAATATGCACAAGTACACTAACTGGGACACACCATAAAAGTCCATGAAATGAAACTAAAACTACAACTCAATGTGTTAATCATCCTCTAGAATATGACAGTCATATTTTGATGAGTTAACACTGAAGATAACTCTAGCATTACGCACTGAAAAGCACTGGTGTGAGAAAGACAGTGATGATGTACCTTTAGAAACGTGTGTGTTTATAGTTGAGGGATCCTGAGAGTGTGTGATGTGGACTGGATTCACTGCTGTCGTTGAATCAGCTTGAGCTGTGAAGATCAATGTCAGTTCAGATGATTAATACATACAAATTTTTTTTTAAGATTAATACATAAAAAATTACAGTTTTTGCTGGCAAGTTTCAATTCCTTTACTATTTCCAGCGTCCCGTTTTGGACTGTTTCATCCCTCAGTTTGTTCTGGTTCAGTGATACTGATAGACCTCAGTGTTCCTGACATTATGAGGCTCTTCTCACACTGTTTTCTCACCTGAATACTTGACAGTGTATCTGACTGAGGTTTGGAGTTGATTTCCCTGAGTAAGCTGACATCTCCACTCTCTGTTGTTATCTTCATTCAGGAGTGTTGTAGTCAGAGTGATGAAACAGTGATATTGATCTGATGATGATAATATCTGATATCTGGAGTCTCTCCTCAGATCAACACCAGCCTGATTCACCCACAACAGCTCAACTCCCTCATAACGAGCCCAATAATCACAGGAGAATCCAGAATACAACTGACAGGAGAGAGTCACAGAGCGGCCTGGACTGATCTCAGTCTGTGAGGATGAAGATGATGATGAAGATGATGATGAAGATGATGATGATGATGATGAAGATGATGATGATGATGATGATGATGATGATGATGGAGACACTGAAACTGAACACAAGACACAAATCACAGACTCTTCAATCATAATCTGAGTTTATTAAAGAATCTGCCCTTTTTATATTGACCATATAATCATAAACTTACCATGAAGAACATGCAGATAAACACGTGCATCAGATCCTTGTTGTCTGCCGTTCACATATTGTCTGCAGGTGTATAATCCATAATCTTCTTCTGTGACGTTCTTGATGTTCAGAGAGCAGTCAGACTCCAGACTCAGTCTCTCATGTCTCTCTGTGTTCTTCTTCTTTATCCCTCCAGTAATCAGTTCAACTGTCCCTGACTGTCTGAAGCTGTTAGAGTAGATCCATGTAGTTGATTTGCAGTCAGGAAGAGCATTATTACAGGACAGACGCACATTTTCACCAGAACTGATGAACTCATCATCCTCAGTCACTCCACTGGTGCCTGAAACACAGTATATCTCAGTGACCATTATGATATATATATATATATATATATATATTAATAAATGAAAACATAAATCATACCAGCATAAAAACAGAAGTATTAAATGCTAGTATTTCCCTCACTATTGCTCAGGAGTGCCAGATTGCGTTTGAGAGTGTTAAAGCTCTGTTGATCAGCCCAGTTTCGGCTGCTCTGAGTTTCGATCGCTCTTTGAGTTGTAAGTTGATGCGAGCGCGGATACATCGAGTTACTGGAGCAGTTTTGCTTCAGGACGGCGAGGATGTGGACCATCAGTGTGCTTTTTCTCCCGTAAGTTTAATAAACATCAAGGGAATTACTCGACAGTTGAAAAGGAAACTTTGGCGTTGTTGTTTTTCTTGCAGTTCTGTGAAGTTTATTTCGGCTCTTCCATCCTGCCCACTATTGTCTATAGCGATCACAACTCCCTTGTTTTACTGTCCTGTATGTATAATGCTAATCAACGACTGATGCTTTGGGCTTTATTTGTACAGAGTTATAACCTTGAAAAACAATACCTGTTTCGTTTTCATTTATTTGTACTTTTGGTTATTACTTATACGCTGTGTTAGTGTGTTATGATTATCATGTGAAACCAAATTTCTTTGCCGTCCTATTTCCCTTTATTATTGAGTGTTAGAGAGCGGTAACGCTGTGTTTGGCTGGATAGAGGAAAAGGGATAGGGAAGTTATGTCACGTGACGTACATCGGACACACTTAGCTCTGATTTATTTAGTTTAGACACACTAGGTTTATAGGAGCATGTGCCATTCACTGTCATTTCTGTGTTGATAGATATAGTAGGGAAGTGTACGACGTCTCTGAGTTTATTATCAGCCACACGGTTCCCTTCCCCCACTCATAATACACAGATTGAGGGGAAACGCAACAAGTGTCTGTCTGTATATTCCTCTTTTCAGGTAAGCCCCTTTAAATATCCGGATATATTTGATGTTAATATGAGTTTGTGTGTATAGGATGTTCGTATAATTGTTATAAACCCGTATTGTGGAAAAGAGAAGAGATTGTCGCACATGGCGAACGTGAATAGTTTGCGATGCTATGCTAACATCAGCACGTATCAATGCACTGTATTGTTAGTACATGAAGTTTTATGGGTTTCTAACAATCGTATAATGAAAATACAGTGTTATTATGCTGTTAAGATCAGTTTGGCTGTAATATTATCATCTTCTAACACTGTTTTGTGTTTATTTGAGTTTGTATCGTACATGAGTGTGTGTTAATGGGTCACATGCTGAACCGTCCATGGTCAAGTGTGAAGGCCTGCAGTTATCACATACAATGGATGACGTGTAAAGTGGTTTTATATTGTGACAAATACAATGTTTGGAGATTAATATACACTACATATAGAGTACAGAGTATTATATAGAGTATTACATTAATTTTGATTTATAAGTAATATGATTTGCATTTTCTTTTATATTTTATTCATTTTCTTTGATTAATATTTTATTTTGTCACACATACAGATGTAAGCTATCTTGTTTATTGTGTGTAACAGGATGGATATAGTGTTTTATGCCAGTTGATGCTCATATCTTTGTGTTTTGACAGTCAATACTGTAAGGATTCAGGGCGGATCTAATCCGTGGGGAATTTGCATATCATAATTAATAATTGGTAATTAATAATTATTCATGCATGTTTGGATTAGATCAGTCTTACATGTTAATAAATCTCCCGATAAGGGAGGATCTGTCATTTTACCTGCATGCATGCATGTGAATCCCTGAAATTAACCACAAGTTGATTGCAATTAATTACACGGACCACGTTTCACAAAACAGATAAAATGAATTAGCTCAATTGTCAGGATAATATTTGTGGGGATCCACCATATCATCTTACTTTATAGGATTTCAGGAAACGCAATTCTCTGGCCAGAAGAATTGGGTTTCCCGCCCTATAAACACAACACATACTCTTTAAGGTATTTTTAATTTTAGTAAGCTTGTAGCATAAGATCTTTTGCACTTAAGGGACTTGAAATTGAGCAAAGAGACAGCACATCAATCAAATGAATATATAATTAATTTAATAGAGGCATGACTACTTATGTATTTACTACGGTTACATGGGATATATGTATTTACAAACATAATAAACAAACAAACATGATAAGGCATCGATGAACGAGAAATGCATAGAGATAGAGAGAGAGAAGAAATGTAGAGAGTTGCAGTTATACAAGAGGGAGTTTAGAAAGACCCGAGGATCTTTCTAAATAGCAAATTCACATAGACAACAGAACTTTGAGAGACAACAAGACTTCAACAAATCTTAAAAGCGTGATCAAACACGGATACTTGCACAGGTAACTCTTTGCATGGCTTGTGAAGAAGCGTGTGTGTCTCTCGGTCCGGCGCGTCACGTGGTCACGTGCGCGTGTTTCTCCTTCAAAGCGAGCGCGCGCTCGTTTAAAGGTCCTTTGTAGATGGATTTGCTGAAGAGATATGTCACCGGGTTTTCTTTTCAATCGTCGATTGGAATTAAACACAGAGCCTTATCTACAACTGAAAAACACAAACTAAACTAGAAACAAATAAAAGAAAGGCGAAGAACTCGCCCGGAGGCGAGACGTTACATCATGACACGAGGACAAGGGAGGAAGAGAGAGTCCAGAGGGAGGTTCAGTCCTCTTTAGAGGAACTGGAGTCCACACCTCTGAGGTGCGAACTGGCCAATGACATTCAACGAAACTTTTGGCGGCCAAATTCTCTTTGTCTTGTCAAAGTTAAACTATGGCCGTGTCCGCCTCTTTTATGACCAGTCAGAATTTGTCAGAATCATTCCACAAGATGGTAAAAACATAGAAAACATACATTTTACTGTAATCTTCTGTATCTGACCAAATCAGTTGGAACGAGATAATTAAAACGGTACCAAACAAAACATTTACACATAATTGGAATACGAAGATACATCTTAATACATAACTATAAACTCTCAAGAGTTTCACTGATACGCTAGGAGATCATATCTAGACTACCATGGACTGGGAAACACACAGACATACAGGAATATATCGTATACAATTGGTAATGGCTCGTTTTATGAGTGTAATGTAAAGGTCCATTATGTGTGTGTGTTGGTTTGTGTGTGTTAGAGTTCTGTTATCTCTCTTGCAGAGATGGGGGAGGGCATGGAATGTTCAAGCATTTTATGACTCTGGCCATTCCTCTGAAGCTTGCGGGCTACAGTCCGGGTGAATCTTGCAGGACATCTGAATATGTCAGTTAATTTGGTGTTTAAGAGAAAGAACCTTCAAGATTTCTTATAACACCCCTGCATCACAAAGTTAGCAAGATGTAATGTAAATCAACAAATGGGAACGAAGGTTGGAGTTTATCGAGACTAAACATGCTACACAGTGATTTCTGTTTCTCATAGTATGCAAGTCACGTCTCAACATTAACCCATTAGAGTTTACAAGGCCACACAGACCAAACAACATAAAGGAAAATCATGAGATGGAACATTAGATGCATGTATCACATGGTTATATGTATATACATAGAATATATAGGTTTAAACCCGGGTTCGTTACTTCTTCTCAGCAAGAATAAGGAGGAATCCCACTCTCTGGGACATTCCAAGGGTAAAGCTCAGTCTTGTAACAGAACACCCCCGTTCTTTGTGTGTGTGTGAGAGAGAGAGTGTGTGTGTGTGTTGTACACACGTTCTTGCTTGAGGAAAGGAGGAAGTCAACTGACAGTCCATACCTTACAATACAATATGGGTCACTTGAGAATGTAATAATGTTACATGCAGGGGTTAAAGTGGGCCGGCACCTCAGATAAATTAATAAATAAATAAATAGATTCATTAATATCAATGACAGTGCGATGGTAGGCTATTGTTTATAAAATGTTGCGTGCGCTGTCAGATTGCAGCCAGCCTGGTGCTCCTTCTGAAGGAGTCCTTCCGCATCAACACGTGTTATCACCCCCTGACCCCGCCTTCACACACTCGCTCCCAGCGTTATGTTCTCAGTCACGGTTCTCCTGTCTGATTTGAGTGCATCTAAGATTCACGTATGCAGACAAAGCCCTTCCTTCCTCCCCGCTGAACGCCAGCGATTACAAATGTGTGAAATGCACTCACGGTGGTTGAGCGAGGTAAAGTTAGTTTTAGGTTCGATATTCGCCGGACATTTGTTTTCCCTTGCCACGGTTCTATAGGGTCGGCAGTCTTACAAGATATCAATAGCAGGATTAGTTTTGACATTATGTAACCATTGTATATATCGACATGAAATCACTTACGTGCGTAAATGCTGCGTGTTTATACCTGAGAATGACTTGAGGTGTTTCCACAGCGCATGATGCCTAAGGGAACGTTTACCAACTGCTTTAAATGTAGCCTATAGTTTATTTTATTTAAAATTACATTTAACATTTAAAAACAGACGTCTTCAAATTCCAAAGCTTGTAGAAGCTTCCTATTCAGGGTATCTGCACATTTTTTAACAGCAAATTTAATGACTTTTAAGACCTTTTTAAGTCCTCTAAAAGGCAAATTTAAGACTTTACCACGACAAAAAAAAAACAGGAAAATGTTCAGCACGACACGACAGTGTTAATTTTGGCAGCCGTTTTTGTTTTAGTCTTAAGATGAAAATGCTTATTGGTCTTAGTCACATTTTTGTAATTTTCTCTTTCATAGTTTTAGTCTAGTTTTAGTTGACAAAGTCATTGCATTTTTTTGTCAACTTTTAGTCAAACTTCAGTTACCGACATTAATTTTGGCAGCTATTTTATATGTCGTCTTTAGACAAAAAATGACATTATAATTTTTTGCTTTAGGCCAATTCAGTTAAGCTTATGAGACATTTGAATCAAGGTAACAGGCTGTATTGACAATTAACTCTTTAGCAGTAGCACTTGTGCAATTCTACATATCCCTGTTCCTTAGTTCAGTGGTACTCCAATTTTTTAGAGTGCCGTAACCCCTCTTGCACTTAGACTGCAGTCACACCTTTTCCATTAAGGGACAATATCTGCCCCTTTTAATCGATTTTTTCCAGTTAATTTTTTACCTTTATAAATACTTTTATAAAAGAAATAATGCTTTAAATAAAACAATGTTCAATAAATATGCAATGATGGTAAAAACGAGGTGATACTTTTTAACATTAAATTAAAATCGCCAGTAGGTGGCGGTAAGTCACTGTCTTTATGAGTGAGTCATCCGTCATCGAGTCATTCATTCATTCAGTATCAAACACAACAGTCTATGGTAACAAAGCAAGTGGCTGTATTTATGAACGGGTCATTGAATCTCACGATTCGTTCAAAGCCACAGATTCGTTCTCGAATCACCACTGTCTGCTGCCGTGGCTTTTGTTGCAAAATAGCAATAATATGCAATAATATGATCAACATTAAAAACACTGCTGGATATCAGCCTGTATTGATCGCAGATTTAGTCACACAAACAGCGCAAGCGGCTCGTGACAGAATAAAGACCAACTGAATGACACTTTAATTAATGTAAGTAGAAAATCTCAAATGAAGATCACTGAACTCCAGCTTACTTGTCAGTGTTTTCAGATCATCCGCGCTTCTTCAGCAGTGTAGAGAGCGCGCGCGAGCATGGTTGCCAGATACTATTGACAAGACCGGGTAGAAAGCGTGTTATTTTAACAGAAAAGCTCTGACTGGGGATTTAATTATTTAAATCTGGCAACCCGACCGTAAGCATGAACGGTCGTAAACACCGTCTGTAATGTGTTGTTGTCTCCTACAAGAAATTTAAGGTCCGTACGTGAAATTTAAGACCTCCTTATTGGAAATTTCAGATTTTAAGACATTTTCAGACCTTAAAAAGCGAAAATGTTATTTAAGACCTTTTAAGACTTTTTAAGGACCCGCGGGGACCCTGCTATTGGTAATACTGACTTAGGCTAAGCCAAGCTTGAGTAAATTAACTTGTCTCCGCAAATGATTCATAAAACATATACATATCAGTTGAGCCTATGTTTAATTTCTTCACTGACACAGACGAAAATGAAAAGACTATCAGTCAAAGTTCAGCTTTAGGAGGAGAAGAAATAGGGCAGGATAAGGAGACTGAGAGAAAGAGAAAGATGGAGATAAGGAGAGAGCTGGTATTGACAATATTCATAATGCCCACTTGACATGATTGTAAAGCATTTATTTTGGCCTCCAAAAGTCTTAAATTGCACATTTAGGTCCGAGAAATCAAAAAATTTCCCCCTAACTTTTTATGTTTCAATTTACATTGTGAAAAACAAGGTTGTGTTCCATATTGTGGTGTTCAGCAATTTTAACATATTATCGTCATCCTATCAGTGTAGATGGACCAAATTAAAACCATTAAAATATCAAGTAAATAAGTATTGTGATACTTTGTGCCACAGTGACACTCTTGTCCCAGAAAGTGCTATTCCACAATACTCAATATGTTGTCCTACGGTGAGTCATTTTTCCCTGTTGCACCTACACAACATTTGAGGGTTCCCCCTCCTGCCAAATCCCACTTTAAAGCTGCTGTAGGTAACTTTTGAAAACATGTATTTGCTAAAACTGTCATTATGTCCTGACAGTAGAATATGAGACAGATAATCTGTGTAAAAATCAAGCTCCTCTGGCTCCTCCTAGTGGTCCTATTGCCATTTGCAAGAAATACACGCTCCCGGTCAGAAACAACCAATCAGAGCCAGGAGGAATGTCTTAGCAGTGTCAATCACGCTCGTGTACGTGCTGATCACACCCCTCTCTTGCACAGCGCGAGCCGTCGTTCAAACTCAAGATTGCCGGCGTGCTGCAGCTGTGCTTATGACGGAGAAACAACCTAAACTGCCAATTCTCGAGTGACACCTGCTCATAAAACAAAGAGGTAAAAGGAAAAAGACTGATGACGATAAACAAGCGAAAAAGAAAGAATTACACAGAGCCCATTGACTTGGTGTCAAAGCTCTAGCCGCATAACATGTAGATAAAATGTCACGCACTCTGCTAAGCAACAATTGAAACCTGCTAATTCACTGGCTTGTCATGTTGCTGAAATAATGTACTAGCACACCTTATCTAGCATTATATATCGCTAGAATAATTACTTACATACTGTAACGTTAGTTACCGTTATATTAACGTTATCTTACTAGCTATTTATAACTTATAGAAAGAGTGCAACGTTATAAAGTTACATGCAGGCTATTGCAAAATACATAATGATTTGAGGACCAAGTTTGTAGTCAAAGTATGGGCAGGCCATAGTCAATGTAAAGCATATTATTGACGTTTAGTGCCTATTAGTGAATGTGCCATATATCTTTTTATCCGCTGTTATCGGTGGCCCTGTTTACTAGCCTGCGTGTTCACGACGGGCTCCGCTGTGGAGGACGAGCTGTGGAGGGAGGGCTGTAGCGCAGCAGAGAGCAAGGGGGCGGGACCTGGAAGTTGTGCTTGTTCAAATTTTCAAGTCAAGTCATCTTCATTTATATAGCGCTTTTAACAATGGAGATTGTTTCAAAGCAGCTTTACAGAGATAAACATACAATTTACGGTAACAGAGACTGTTTTGGCTTTATAGCGATTTTGAATAATGTTATTACCGGCTAAAGTTGGTTTTGATTGATTCACTTCCAGCAAAATTATCATTTGTTATTACATTAGGGGCCACTAAGACGACGGCGTTCTCTCTAAACAGACTTTAAACGCGAACCTGTGATAAACGCTGATGGCGTTCACATGCGCATTAAAAATTGATTCTATAGTTATGTGCGTTTGAATATATGTCCGCAGATTTGTAATTTCAGGCTAAGTCAACGTTTTCTCAAAACTCCCTACTGCAGCTTTAACCACTTTAACCACTGGTTACAGGTAAATTGTTATGCATTTTATGGTAATTGTGTGCACTCATAATACAGAGATTGAGGGAAACACAACAAGTGTCTATCTGTATTTTAATATTTCTATGTTCCCCTTTTCAGGGAGATTACACCATTCGCTGTCATTTCTGTGTTGATAGATAGAGTAGGGAAGTGTACGACGTCTCGGATGTTGAAGAATTTTCTTTCTACAGTTTTCTTTTGGATTAAGTAGGTTTAGTTGAAACCAGTGAGAAAGATCCTTTTTGTTTTATTCTTTTCTTTGTGTTGGCACTGTCCAGTTTTCCCTTTTTCCTCCCCAGATCGCTTCATTTTTCTTTTTTCTGATATATATATATATATATATATATATATACACACTCACCTAAAGGATTATTTATATATATACTGTATATATCTTGTCCGATCATTGCACATAATACATTTGTTCCCCTGTTCTCCTGCTGTTTCTCAGTGGTCTTATTCACTCTCTCAGTATTGGAGGCCTAATGTTCCCCTTCCATTCACTCTTTTAAAGTCAGTGAACGGTCGTAACACTCACTTAAAGCAAACAACACACTCTCCAGAATAAACTATCAGTGTTCAAATCACTGACACACTCTTAATATGAAGATCATTCTTCATCATCAGATGTTTGAGTGACACTATGTCCAGTATCAGGAATAATACAGTATGATCTGTGTGTGTCAATACACAACTCTGAGATCACAACGTGAATGTGTGTAAGAATAAACTGAGCATGTTCAAATGAACTCTTTCCAGACTAATTCCACTAAATGTGTTTAGAGAAAATACAGATTTCTTTACCTGTGAGAAGTGAAGAGAGAATGATCAGTCCCAGCAGACACAGATCACACTTATCAGACATTTCTGTTTCTGTCAGTCTTCCTCTTCATTATATATAGTTACAGCTCTTCCTCTTCATTATATATAGTTACAGCTCCTCCTTTAAACATCATCAGCTCCTCCTGTAACTTCCTCTGATCTGATGAACTGAGTGTTTACATCCGGCTATAGTTGCTTTAGTGACACGATGTCAGTGCATGACAGTGAAGTGTTGCTCTACATGTGTGTGTGAAACGTGTGAGAAGTGCATATACTGTTAACAGCACTGTCTCAACACACATCTGATCTGAGAGTTTACTTTCTACACATGGATTATAATATTCTGCTTTACTCTCTCTAGCCCTGAGAAATAGATCAGATCCAGACTCCTTTATTAACACCACAAACACCAAACGCAAGATTCTTTTCCCTTTCCCTGTGACACAGGCTGAGCTGTTTAAAGAAGAAGAAGAAGAAGAAGAGAAGCTTTAAGAGGCGGTTGTGTGTCATTATTAAAGTCAGTGTGTGTCATCGGCACCATGTTCTGAAGACACTCAAGATGCTTCTTCCTGGTGGTCAAAAGTATATTATGACATTTAAAAAAATGAAAATATCTTTAAATATTTCCTTTTGTAATGAAACGTGTCTTGATAGATTTCTTGAGTCACACCGAGAATAAAGATACCAATCACGCCGTAGTCGGACCGAACTTGCTGTCCACAGTAATGGTGTTTCAGAAGCATGTCATCGCTGGCCGTGAGAACTCCGTTAGTTTGACCGCACTGTTAAACACACACTAGGGCTGTCACTTTTGTGAAAAAATCCTGTTCGATTTTTAAGACATAAGTGTTCACTGAATCGATTGTAATATCGATTTTCCATCTAAAGACGTTTCCATTTTCAACACCAAATACAGGCAAATCCACGGACACCTAACAGGCATTAGGACGAGCGTAAAGAGGGGCTTGAGCAATATTGAGCAAGTCAGCAATATTACTGATGATTTATTGGCGTGAAGTTTCGTGCACAATGACAAACAGGAGCGCAACATTCAGGGATTGAGATTAACTCCCTCGACCCGCCAGATGCGGGTACAAATGAACTGTGGCGGCAAACGCTGTCAAATCACGAGCCAATCTGGTGTGTTTCTATGTTTACTCACTTTGCTGGGGAAGTTCGTGTAAGACAAATCTGATTTAGTGCAACTCGTGAGTCCTCATGATATATTAAATACAGCGTATTGCACAGAATCTGCGCATTTCTGGCTTACTTGAACACACACACACACACACACGTCACTACGTAACAAATAACGGCGTGCTTGTTCACTTGCATTGAAGTAATAGCGAATATTACAAAGCATTTGGTTAACAGAAAAGACATTGTTATTTTCCAGCATCCTACATGTACTGTGTGCTGTATTGATCTGTCCACCTAACACACATTTTTGCTAAAAAAGAAAAAAAAGGCGTTAAAATCGATTCCCTATTTTCGTTTTCGAAACTTGTGTTGGTTGGTCCGATCGATTGTGCAATCGATTTTTTCGAATGTAAAGTGACAGTCCTAACACACACACACAACTGTGATCATCTCTGAAGTTTAGGCGGATGGGTGTGAACTCTCACATTCAGAAAACAGTTCCTCTTTTTTCTACAACTGAATTGCTCAACTTTTTCCTGTCCAATAAATGTTTGTTATAGTTGCTGCAAACCATTTACAAATTCACTGTTAATGTGATTGGTTCAGTGTTTGCTAATATTTTTATTTCAATGATTTTACATAAAGCCGGGTTCCTCATACACACACCTGACTGAGATATTCAAGTAAACTCAAAGACGTTGATTAGTTGATTCAGGAGTCAAGTCAAGTCATCTTCATTTATATAGAGCTTTTACCAATATAGACTGTTTCAAAGCAGCTTTACAGTTGTGGCGATGCGATCAGCCGTTATAGTGATTAGCATACGGTACGTTCAGCGGATATAAAAGGAGAAGAGACTGACATCTGACTAAGCGTGTCATTCTGGGTCCTGGAAGTGACATCATTTCTGGTGTGCAGTGTTTATGTCCAGGAGGCAAGAGCTACTGGTGACAGTCTCATTATGAGTGTTTTATGTTAGGAAGGGTAATTTGAGACTCGTTTAATGTACAGTGTGGCTGAGGAGAACCTCATTTGTTGTTGTGAATTTGAAATGTTTGAATTTGAATTGTTACTGTCAAAATGTGGCTGTTTTTTTACAACAAGGGTTATCAGTGTGTTTAAGAGAAGAACCTTCAAGATGCTTATAATACTAACGCGTCACAGAGTTATTAGCACAATGTAATGTAAATGAACAAATAGGAAACGCAAATTGGAGTTCGTAGATACCAAGCATGCTACACATGTGATCTTAGTTAACCATAGTAAGCGATTCTGAAACATTAGTTAACATCTTCACATCCAGGCCATCAAGGGTTGTGTTTCAGTCTCCACCAATCACAGGCCTGCATTTAAAAGCTTCTGACTCACTTGTTAAGAAGCCGCTGAAAATCTTTACCATGAGATCACAGATTAGATGGTCACCTTTAGAATGATAATACACACTCACAAAGGTGAACTTCTGTCTGCCGATCTCAACATGAACCCAAGCATCATCTCCACCATCACTATATGACTCCAGACGGCTGTGTGGTTTATTAAGAGAGCAGACAGAAAAATGGAGCGCAACTGGAAGAAAACAAAACGTCTCAGGTTACTACTGTAACCATAGTTCCCTGAGAAAGGGAACGAGACGATGCGTCACTTGACGCTTTGGGAACGCCCCCAGCGTGAATGCGTCTGAGCATCAATGTCAACTAGTCCAATGGAAAGAATGAGCGTCACGGGCGGGTGATGTCATGACCAGTAAGGGATAAAGGCTCACCCGGTGAAACGCGGCATTAGCTTCTGTGTCTCAGCAAGCGATCTGTGTCACTCTGTCTCTGTCTATTTATTGTTGTCTGTTACGATATTATTGGGAAGAGTTATGGCGAAACAACTTTACAAACTCTGTGCTTCTCCCTGCCCGCGTTATTTAACGGGTGGGGACACACACGAGCTTTGTGTAGTTTGTTTGGGAGTGGAGCATGCGGTATCAGCCTCCGAGGGGGCTGATTGCAACATTGTGAGAAGCTTTCGCTTCGCATGCTCCACTCCCGCCTGTCACTTTTCGAGGAAAGTGGCCGGGCTCGCGATCCTCGGGGTGCAGGACACGCGTCTGCCGAGGCAGCGCGGAGAATGCATTCCTGTGGATCGCGAATAGGATCTCGTTACGGGGTTGGAGACGGGTCCGCGGATCTTATCTCCTCCCTTTCCACGAGTGATCCAGTGCTCTCTCTCCGGTCTCGGAAGCCCGCGCTGCGGTCTCTTCCGCCCGGGGAGAGAAATCAATGCTTCAGTGCTCTACCTCCGAGGAGGTAGATGTGCTGGGCATTGAAAGTGTACACAATCATGGGGGAAGTGGATTTGCCATCTCTTCCCCAGCGTATGAGAATTATATATAGCCTATATATATATATATATATATATATGATAGTTTATATATTATATATGAAATAAAGTGTATATATATATAAAGAATGTATATAAAAAAAATATATATATAATAATAAGCTGGTGGAGGTGTTTACTAAGGCTGTAGATAAATTAAATATTTAATGGCCAGCAGAAATAAGGGGGCACTCGTCCTTAAAATAAATTGAACGAGTTTCCTTCCCTCTATTTTTCCACCTCCATCACGGGGCCTTCCATTTTTCCCGATCTGCACAGCGAGCTGTCTAGATCATGGAAAAAGCCTTACTCATTTTTTAGCCCCACATTCATGTATATTCAGATATTTGGGGGTTAAGAGAGTATGGCTATGGGGCAATACCCCGGGTAGAACAGACACTTGCGAGCTATGTCTCCCGGTTCAGTATCGTCCCTGAAGGCGTCCGCTTCTCTCACTAAACCATTAAAGAAAACTATTTTTTAATCTAGTGGGAAAAGCATATATGGCAGTGGGTCTAGCACGAGCCTGCTTGCACACTATAGCAGTGCTGCAAGCATATCAGGCTGACCTGCTGTGGTATTTGGACAGAAGTGAGGGAGTTTGGCCCGATGGGGTTTGAGAACTCCGTCGGGCCTCAGATTTATCTCTCAGGGATGGCAGCCAAAGAAATGTGGTCACTGAGAGACACCTCTGGCTCAATTTGATGGGAATCATGGAGAAAGATACAAGATAATCTCTCCCTCGCTATGTCCAACCCACTGGGGCTGCTGGGCGTGAGCAGCTCCAGCCGGCTAGTTTCTCATACACAACACAGCAGCCAAAGCCTTCAAAGCAGAAGCCGGATCCGAGGACCGTTCTTCATGCTGAGAAGGCTGCGGCTCAAAAGAAAAGGTCTGGCGCCACGGCGTCAGACCGGTGAGGGCAGCCCCAACCGGGGTGGAATGGTGTACACCTCATTATACGGTGCCCTTTCCATCTCTGTGCCCTCAGGGGACCGTTCTGCCAACCCCGCCACCCTTGGTGCTTCGGGGCGCAGCGTTCTCCAGCGAGCTTCTGGCGCAGCGTCAACTCGACGTTGCGTCGGACTCGCGCCCTCTGAGGGGGGTTCAAAAACAGTCAGTTCGGGTGGTTCCTGCCAGTATGTTTCAGGTCCCCGAACTGGCTGTCTTTATTACACCAGAGGCCAGCCTCGAGGGGCTGGTTCCCATCAAATTGAGCCAGAGGTGTCTCTCAGTGACCACATTTATTTGGGTGCCATCCCTGAGAGATAAATCTGAGGCCCGACGGAGTTCTCAAACCCCATCGGGCCAAACTCCCTCACTTCTGTCCAAATACCACAGCAGGTCAGCCTGATATGCTTGCAGCACTGCTATAGTGTGCAAGCAGGCTCGTGCTAGACCCACTGCCATATATGCTTTTCCCACTAGATTAAAAAATAGTTTTCTTTAATGGTTTAGTGAGAGAAGCCGACGCCTTCAGGGACGATACTGAACCGGGAGACATAGCTCGCAAGTGTCTGTACTACCCGGGGTATTGTCCCATAGCCATACTCTCTTAACCCCCAAATATCTTTTGAATATACATGAATGTGGGGCTAAAAAATGAGTAAGGCTTTTTCCATGA